TATATCATAATAAGGATGAAAAAGATATATTATATAACCCTAATCATCAATGAGTGAATCTGAGAAAGAATCCCTACCTTGATTCTTGAATCTGGATCCTAATGTGTTTCGTTGCGATTACCCCACGTTAATCCTTCAAGATTTATCTCGTTCTTCTTTCGTTTCTTCTCCTCAAAATTTTTCAGATTTCTTGGGGTTGAAAAATAGGTAAAGACTCTTTAAATCACGGCCCTAGGATATTTATAGGCTGAAAAATAAAGAATTCTCATGTGGGCACGGGTAGAAGTCTACCCCTGACTTCCAGCTCAGTTTTTACCTAATTAGACGCCGATTCACAAAGTTTTCATGAAATACAATTTTGTAGCCCTTGAAGTTTCTTTGCTACGGTAAAAATTTTAGATCAATCAGATATCAGGATAAAAAGTTATAGCTAAAATACAAAAGTTATGTCAAATTCTTTTTTTTCCCCCTAATCCTCTCCAAAATAGGTTTTAACTTAAGAATACTCCTAAACTTCTAATACAACTCATATAACCTCTTCCTTTGTTTTTTGACATTCTGGATTCAATGGAAACCTTATTTTGACCTAAAAATATTTATAAAATTACTTTGCCACCCTTCTCAAATTTAAATATCTCCAAAACTTTATTTACTCTGAAAGTCAAATATGCATGAAACTTAAATTTGATAATTAAGATTTTAACAATTATTCTAATTTTCTATCATTATTTTATTCATCTTAGAAGAACTCTTAAGATGTTATTATCCTTGTTTTATTTATTTATTTATTTATAGTATGGGGTCTTACATAGTATCACTTTGTTTTGTATACAGAAAGAGATCTAACATTTGAGGATTGATAATGGACACAACTCCATGTCCATTATGCCTGTGTTTGTTGATTAGCTGGATGTGCGATCTTAATTTGATGCCTTTGGAGGGCGAGCAAATAGGGAACTTGGGTTAAACGCTTGTAGAGCGACTAAACTAAGATCTGTATGGTGTCTGAATGTGACATATGCTCTTATTAGGATCAAGACACTCCACCGTAGCATGTATTTCATACTACATGTGCTTGGCGACAATTATGGAGGTGAAGGAATGGATCCCTGCTTCCTCACTGTGTGAGCCCTCTGAGTCATTTTTACATGACCAGGTTATTTTGTATAACCAAACATTTTGTGTACTCTCTGACTTTTGACTATGTCATAAAGTAAAAGAATTAATGCTCAGCTACTTTGGCATATTACTTATGGCTATGAGTTTTTTTTTTGGTCAGTTACTTACGGCTATGAGTGATTCGGCCTCTCGGGGCATTGTTGGGAAAACGGTTAATTTTGAACTAAGTGACATGAGGACGAAAAGAAGACCATTTGGAACATCCCGCGATATATTCACAGTCGACAACTTTGGGAGCTAGTTTATATAGTGACAAAGTGTGAATGTATAGGTGAAAGCTTTGATGGGTTATGAATGCTTTTATATTGTGAGGGATTAGAGAAGCTTGAACCGGTGTATCTGAATAGGTTTAGAGTAGAGCCACAATTTTTATTTTTTTTAGGGTTGATGTCTCTATGTTGGCTCTATAGAGTTTCTAGTGTAGAGCTCCTAAATTGCAAGTGTGCTCAGCGGTTGCACGATCCATTAGCCTGCATGAATTGATGTTGATGTATATAATGGATTGAGAGAGATGACACTGTTGTACCCACCACGTGTGAGTGGGAGATGTTAGATATTGGTTGGGTCATGGACCCGAACCGGGGTACCCATGGTGGGTCGACCCAAATTAAAGAATGCCCAAAGGGACATGTTTTTTGGAGGTATCCTTTTCCACCCAAAATACGTGTTTGTTAAATATTAACAGATACGTCCCTATAGGATGTGTCTCTTAATGAGACCTATTAGTTGCCTATATAAACCCAAGGCAATCCAATAGATGACACACCTCTGATAATTCATCTAACGTTAAAACTCTCCTACTTTTTTCTCTCTCTCTCTCTCCCTACATAACATTTGTAAGGCTTTTGTGCTGTGAAAAACCTGGTGTTAATTCGTCATATGTAACAACATCATACTACTCGAGCAATTAAAGAAAAGATGTTGATTTGGATTCCAAATTACGTGAAACATTCTCAAACGATTTTGGGATTAAATTGCATAAGCTATGTCTTTAATCCCACGCTCCTGCAATATGCTATACGATTTTCAACACATGCATTGCACGTGAATCCTTTAAAAAAAATAAATTTATTATAAATTTAAATATATTAAAAAAATATGTATTTAAGAGAACAAAATATACAATTCAAAACAACTAGAGAAAAAAAATCATTTATTTCTTGAATTAGCTCCTCGGATGGATTTAACAATAGATTGTTTACTTAAAATGAAAAGATCGCGCAATGTACCAACTTCACTCTCAAGTTATTGTTGCTTAAGAATGTTCAACATCCAACTATTGAACAATTACTATATATGCAGAATACAAATATATGATGAGAAGAGCTCAATTCTGAGACAAGCTTGACAGTAAATGCTGAAAATGTAATCACAAATATATTTTGTTCACAACATACTATTGTAGACTACAACTCATTTGTTTTAGGGTTAATTATATTAAAGGTCCCCAAAGTATAAAATATCTCATTTTGGTCCTTGAAATATTAAATATGTTTCTATATGATTCCTCAAATAAACAATATCAAAATTGCTAACGATTTTTTTTAACAGAATGATCACGTGTTGAACACATGATACCATCTAAAAAAATGACATACAATCACTTTTGTCCTAAAACTTGACGGTCCGTCTATGTAGAGAACAAAATGACACGAATTGAATATTTTAGAAATAAAATTGATCAAATTGATACAATGAAAACTAAACGGATAAAAAATACATTCTTTTAAGACTAAAAGTGAAATTAATCCAAAAAAAAAAAAAAGAAGGCATCTGTTTTGGATATCCGTGCATTTTTCATATTTCAATGATTCTTTGGGGTTTTGAATATTTTGTCCTGAGTGTATCCTATGCTCATTTTCTTTAGGTTTTCCAGCAGTTTTTTATCTAAGTTTATGGTTTCCAGCATTTTACAATTAGAAGATTTCTTTCAGAGAAAACTTGGGTAATACTGACTGGTTGTTTTTAATCAGAGAAATGTCATTCTGATTAATGGAACACTTCCGAAGTTGCGCTTCACAACAACATTACGGCTTGAATACCTTATGGACTTTCTTTAAACACTACTGATAAGATTCCTCTCTTTCTTTCATTTTTTTTCCTTTCCTCGAAAGTTTACTGGTTAGTCTTGTGCACATATCCCTCACAACTGGTATTGATGCTCTCTCTCTGATTTTTTCTCTGCGATTTGAATCCGACCATAAATCCCGGTGAGACTCACTACATGGAAACGGGTTTTACACCAATGTACCATGAGTAGTCTACTACCGAGAAAGTCAAAAAAATAAATTAAGGTCCTCATTCTACAGTTCCAATCTCCCCAAATCAGGGTCGATAATCCAATCATACTCGAATAATAAGAATATTGAAAGGATGGACCAGACTCATGTAATCATCCTGCAGTCAAGGTTTTTTTTTCTATAGAGATAAAAACAACTTACTACAGGCAAACTTACCAAATTAATGTACGTCAAATTTATGATAAAATGTGAATGAGTGATATGGGTATAGAAAGAAATTAAGGACTTACTGTGCATTCAGTGCATACAACAATTTAAGATATTGCCACATTTGTACCTGTTGAGAGATTGCAAATAACAGGAGAGGAAACAATTATGTGTACAATTTTTTTCTACAGAGATAAAAACAAGTTATACATCTAGACTTGAATTAATGTATGTTAAATTTCTAATGAAATGTAAATGAGTAATAAATGTGAAGAAAGAAAGTAAGGACCCACTGTGCATTCAATGCATACAACAGTTTAAGAAAGTGTCACATTTGCACCTATTGAGAAGTTACAAATTATGGGAGAGGAGAGTGTTGTGTTTACAATTATTTTTGATAGTGGTCCTGATGGTCGGTCTATGAATTTCTTCTAATAGAATTTTTTTTGTTTTTTGTTTTTTTTATGGAAAAGTTTAAATAATCTGAATACAAAGTTGTAAAAATAGGAGAACAGTGATTCAAAACCAAATAATATGAGAACATTGATTCCAAATCCATAAAATAATTTTTTTTTATTTTATTTCATTGTTTTCTTTTCACCAAAAAGGAAAAACAACAATATATATATCATATTACAATTATCCTCTTTATTAACCATTAATTGTAAAAAAATCCTTGATTAATTCTTAAATAAACACTATGACTCACATTGATGAAGTAATAAAGATGTTGAAAGAAAGTAAATACTCATTGTGCATTCAATGCACACAACAATTTAAGAAAGTGCAACATTTGCACCTGAATACATTTGATTCTACAGAAGGCTACTTTGACTGAAATGGATTGAGCCTAGCCACTGGAACCTAGAGCAGAGGATGAGCTCTTGGAACAGTGAAACCAAGTCCCTCTTCCATGTCCACACTTCCATTTCCTCCAACACCAACCTTCCATTCAAGTAAATAATAGAAATGGGTCCTCTATTTTGTCTGTCTCTCCCACCTTGAACCAAAATCACCATTGTTGATATCTCCTTGCTCCCATCTCTTGTCTCGTCTTCACCGAATACCCTATCTTCTTCTTTCGGTGGCCCACCTATCTTCATAACCTCTCATCTTGCCCTATCCTTTTTGTTTTGGCAGCTACGATACAACCAAACCCCTTTACATCCCACAATTACTTTCTCACCTTTGACACCATAATCCTAAAATCAACCAACTCAAACACTAAAACCCTTTCTCAATTACTTCCCCCACTTCTAGATCTCTACCCAAATCTTTCGATCTGACACCCATTTTGCATTAATGCCTTACCCAACCATTTCCCCTCCATTACTCACACCCGTTAACTAACCCATTTGTTAGCTCACTTTTCTGATGGAATCATTCAACGAGTCAGCAAATCCAAATAAAAACCAAGACATTAACCCTTCTTTGATGTTTGTTGAAGAAGCAATTACGGCGGGCCAAGGGCATATAGGAAAACAAAAAGGGATAACCCACAACCAAGTTAATGAAGTTGAGGGTAAAACACCGAATTCTATTAGCAAAGGGAAACCCAAGGCCACAGCTCAGTCGGACCTACTCAAAGGGGAATTAGCGCCAGTGAATAACAGTCAACAGAGACAAGGTCCACCCAAGTTGTCTTGTACCCAAGTTGCGAAGGCAGGCAAAGTAAGTAACCCTCAAGAAGGAAACCCAGCTAATGGGGGGGGGGGGACAACAAATCATGAGGTTAAAGTATTTCAAACCTTGCAAAGAAAATGATAGAATTGTTGTCAAGCCACCATTAGAAATCGGAAAATAGGGATGTCTTGAGTGGCAAAACTACCTTGTAGGGTATTTTATAGAGAGAAAGTTGCCCTATTCCACATTTAGCTTCATTGCTCACAAGGTTTGGGATAGGATGGGTTGCTGAAGGTTCTTGCAAATGGAAATGGATTTTACTATTTTAAGTTCATGGATGATGAATCTCGAACTAAGGTGTTTGAGGCTAGCCCTTGGTTATTCTTAGAGAGGACACTCATCTTGAAAAAATGGACCACTGATCTGTTATTTACCAAAGAGGATCACTGCACCATACCATTTTGGGTTAAGTTATACAATTTACCATTGTAATTCTAGAGTGTGGATGGTCTTAGCCATATTGCTAGTGTAGTTGGGACCCCTTTATATGCTGACACATTGACTACCAACAAAAAAAGGCTTAACTTTGCAAGGATTTGCATTGAGATGAGTGCAGGTGCCAATCTTGTGGAGGCATTTGATTTGAGGATGGATATGGAAGACAAAACAGAGACGGTGGAAATAAAGGTAGAGTATTAATGGAAGCCTAGTGTTTGTCAATCTTGTAAAGTGTTTGGTCACAAAGAAGGTTGTTGCCCACAAATAGGAGCAAGTCACTCTTCTTAAAAAAAGTCAAACATGAATGCCACTAGTAGCAAGGACCAGGGGAAAGCCAATATAACCCCATTGAGGGATGTGGGAGGATCCATGGAGGTTCCACAACCTAGGAAAAACTTACCCCAAGTGGGAAATATGGTTGCTAGTAGCAGTAGTGCCATCAAGTCAATTACCAACCAGTGTCCAAATGGACCACAAGATGAAACCCAAGTAACTACTAACATTGTCATTGCTATTATTGTAAGTGATAAAAATCATACAAAGCAGTTTTCTAAGCCAATTCAGTCCCCTAAAAAATTTGAAAGCTTAAATATCGAAGGAGATAAAATTGTTGTGGATTTATCCCCAGTCCCTTGTATTAATAGTGGTAATGTGGCTATTAACAAGAGACAAGTGATGGAGGTTGAATCCATTGGGCATAAACCATAGGTTGAGAATATGCTTGAGGGGGAACATAAAAAGAAGAAGGTAAAAAAAAAAAAGGCAATAAACAGGGGAAATGAAACGTGTTGAAGCACCTCAAAACCAAAAATCTCTATTATTATGTCAAAAAGTTTCTTGTTGGAATGTGAGAGGGTTGAATAAACCCTAGAAGCAGGGAGAAGTTAGGAAATTGATCAGCGATCAACACTTGGACTTATTAAGTCTGGTGGAGACCAAGATTAGAAGTATTAATAAGGATGCGGCTATGAGAAATGTTTTTGGACAATGGGAGCATGTGGACAATTACAATTGCCACAACAAAGGAAGGATTTGGGTTGGGTGGAACCCTCATACTTTGAAAGTGAATAAAATCTCTGCAATTGAGCAAGTTATTCATTGTTTTGTTCATCACTTGGAGACAAATGACTTCTTTTATGCTTTCTTTGTGTGTGGATCTAATGGGGAACAAGATAGAAGACATCTTTGGGGGAATCTGGTTTATCATGCTGGAATGTTTGCCTCTTCACCCTGGACAATGCTAGGGAACTTTAATGCTATTAGACATACTTAAGAATCAATGGGTTGCTCTGGCAGATGGTGCCAATCCAATGAAGACTTTGATGATTGTCTTCAACGTGCTAAATTAGTGGATCTTAAGTTCTCTAGTTGCCTATTTACATGGAATGGTAGCAGAATTGAAGCATGGTGTATTGTAAGGAAATTGGATAGGGTGCTGGTGAATGAAGAATGTAATATCAGATTTCAACAATTAGAAGCTATTTTTTTGCCACCAGGAATGTCGGATAATGTCCTACTTTACTTAAGATTGGTCAAGAAAGAAGGAAAATGAGTCCTGTCAAGTTCTTTAACTTCATGGCTGAGAGGCTAGACTTTTTACCTATGGATGAACAAATTTGAAGGGAACCCTTCCAGGGAACTCAACAATACCAGGTGTGCTGCAAATTGAAGACACTTAAGGAATCATTCAAGGTAAAGAGCTGGGAGCTTGGTGATATTTCAGATAGGGCAAGGGAAGCAATAGAGGCCTTGGAAAACTGCCAGAGCGGGTTAGTTACTGATCCACTAAACAATACTCTGAGACTTGAGGAGAGGCAACTTCTTGCTACCTACTCAATAGCTGCTAGAAATGAGGAATCTTTCCTTAAATAGAAGTCCAGGGTTTTGTGGTTAAAAGAAGGTGTCAAAAACACAAGTTACTTCTTCAAAACCATAACAAAGCAAAGGAATAGAAAGAAGATTTTATCCTTGCACACAAAAAATGGTGAGCTTATTGAGGGAGAAAGGGCAGTTAAGAAGGAGGCTATTTCTTTTTACGAACAACTACTAAGAACCAAGAGTCCTATTAAACTCACAGGATAGGAGTAGATTACTAGAGACCATTGTGCTACAGAAGTTATCAGAAAAAAAAGCTTTTGATATGGTTAGGGATGTTACTACAGATGAGACAAAGGAAGTCTTCTTCTTTTTTAATGACCACAAGGCACTTGGACCAAATGGTTTCAATGCCTATTTCTACAAGAAAGCTTGGCCAATTAGTGGAGGGGACATCATAGCTGCCATAAAAGAATTATTTTCTAATGGGATCATGTTGAAGGAGTTCAATGCCACCATCATCACATTGGTTCCTAAAACTCCTAATGCATCATGTATGGGGGAGTTTAGGCCTATTTCATGCTACAATGTGTTCTACAAAGCTATTTCAAAACTTATTGCTAATAGAATCAAAGGTGCACTTAAGGATATTATTAGCCTTAACCAATCAGCATTCATCCTTGGAAAAAGGATCAGTGATAACATTCTTTTGTCCCAAAAGATTATGGGGGATTACCTTAAGGATGGAGGGTCACCCAGATGTGCTATCATGGTGGACCTTATGAAGGCCTACAATACATTGGATTGAGACTTTATGATGGACACCTTAGGTGCCTTTAATTTTCCAGTAATGATCTGGAAGTGGATATGGTCCCGCCTTACTACTCCTAAGTTTTCTGTTAGCATTAATGAAGAACTAGAAGACTTTTTTCCTCATGTGAGAGGATTGAGGCAAGGGGATCCTATTTCCCCTTATCTCTTTTTTATGGCCATGGAAATGCTTACACTGTTTGTTCAACATAACATCAGGTCTAATAACAAGTTTAAATTCCACTGGAGGTGCAAGAAGGTGAAACTCTATCAGTTAACTTTGGTAGATGATTTGATGATGTTTTTTCATGGGGATGTTAGCTTTGTCTCTACATTGAAGATGGCTATTGACTTGTAACACCCCGCATTTTCTTTTATATATGTATATAGATATATAGTAAATAATTGTTGTAAAAATGGGGATATGTGTAGTGATGTGTGTTTGAATTTGGTAGAATGAAAAAGGGATGAACAGTGCATTGGCTGTAACATCAAGCTCGATTTCGACCTTGATGCAGTCCATATCTCTCAAAACTTAAAACATGAAATTTGTAGAGCTATCTCTTAGGATTCCATATCACCTTGAATCATCTCAATCGGAACTAGGAGGAAGGAGTTATGTCCATATTACGAAGTAGTGTCTACACTGTCTAAAAATCTGTCCGGCAGACTACCTTTCGCTAATTTCATCATAACTCTTTATTGGAAAGTCCGAATTGTGTACCGTTATTTTTGTTAGAACCCTAACTCGTATATCTTTCAAACCATATAGGTTACACCTCCTAGAAATACCTGAGTCAAATCAGTTTATTCTATGAAGTTGACCAAAAATCTGCACAATGGTGCTCCTTGGATAGTAAAGGGTTGTGCTTTCTTATTAGACCTTGAAGGTGTAAAACCCCATATGTTTATATTAATATATTAATGTACTTGTTTAGTGATTCTTCTATATGTAATGACTTAAGAATAAACCATATATATATATTAAAATCGTAAGGATATCACCTATAGTAGTTCGAAGGAATAAAATAGAAATTTTAATGTTCCAAGTGTGAATTTATTTTAGTTTTGAAATAAATCATAAAAAGCAATGTTTTTAGGTTAAAATAACATTAAAAATGAATCCGGAACGTCGAAAAACCTTAGGGTATTCGTATGGATCAAATTGGAGATTTCTAGTAGCAAAACTGTAATTTTAGAAAAAACTCAAAATTTAGCCATGAACAGTGAATTGCGCGGACTGCTGTGTTTAAAACACAGAATCCAGCCCATTTCCTTCCATTTTTTCTCACATCTCTCACCTCCAAACCCCTTAGCACCCTTGGGGAAGATAGAGGAAAGGAGAAAAGGGAGAAAGGAGGTCATTAGAGCTTGGGTTTTTGGTTTGAAACTTTGATTCAAGGTAGGGGTTTTTCTTCCATGCTTGTCCATTGAGACTAAGGCTAAAATATATATATGTTTTGACTCATACTTGTATGTATTTGCTAGGAATTCCTTGTTTCTTGGTTTTTTTGCAATTATGGCATGTCTTAAACAAAGTTAGGATTGATTACCCATGAAACTTCTTTTATAGCTTTAAAACCCTAGTTTTTGGGGAAATATGGAATTCTCTTTCTACATTTGCTCAAGCTTGGTTTTGAGAACTTTAGTGCTTTGTGTGAGTAATGAAAATGATGTGGTGGTGATCTCTTGTATTTTTCTTAATTGGTTATTTGGATTGTCGCATGATAAAATTTGAGAATTTTGATAATGGTTGCTTGTTGAGGGAAATTTGTGGATTTTATCTTGTATGTGATTGTTGGTATGAAAAAAGGATAATTATGAACCGAGGTTACTCGTAAGTATGCGGTTAAGTGTGGAATACTTGAAGGGGGGTAGAGGTTACTTGTAAGTATGTTACCTACCAAAAGAGGATATTTATGAACCGAGGTTACTTGTAAGTATGCGGTTATGTGTGGGAGACACCAAGGGGGGTAGAAGTTACTTGTAAGTATGCTACCTACCAAAAGAGGATATTTATGAACCGAGGTTACTTGTAAGTATGCGGTTATGTGTGGGAGACTTCAAGGGGGGTAGAGGTTACTTGTAAGTATGCTACCTACCTAAAAGGACATCTAACGACCGTGGTTACTTGTAAGTATGCGGTTATGGGAAACAAAGACTTGAAGGGGGTGGAGTTTACTTTTAAGTATGCCACCTGCCAAAGGAAATATAATAATCGATGGTGGAATAAGCGTTCCTTTTTGTATTATGGTGTTACTATTGCATTTCCCACAAGAGCTTGTGGAGGTATGAGACTCTACAAGAACTTGTTGGAAATGGTTATGGTTGCTTATTGTGACTTGGGTTTACTGTTCATTTAAATTATTGCGAATGTTTAAACTTGAGATCTGTTTCAAATGTCACGGTTTTACTTCAAATGTTATATGATATTTTGGAAAATAAGACCGAACTGTTTTACTTGTTTTCTAAACTTTGTATGAGTATGGAAGGAATGTTGCTACAGAGCTTAGTGCTCATCCCCTACAAATAATATCTTTTCAGATTTCGTCTATGAGGAGGAGTTACAAGTAGATGAACCAGTGCATGGGGAAGCTCCCCTAGAGGGGAACGGGGGTCCTGAACTGGATGCCTAGAGTTATATTTCTTTTGTACTAGACTAGAGAGTTTATTTTGAAATCATGTAAAGTCTAGTATTTTGTTATTTCACTGCAAGTGTAATTTAATTCTTTTGGGAATATATTTGTCATACTTGGCCTATTCTTTTGGGATGGCATTGTGGATATGACATATGATGAATGAAAGTTTATTTTATGATGGATAAATAGACCCGGTGTGGTCAATAGTTATGCATATGTGGACCCGGTGTGGTCAATTGTAATATAATTGTACAGGTTGTGTTTTGGGTAAAGCTCCCCGTACAAAGGAGACTCTGCCCAAATTTTGTTAAAATATGAATGGCTGATGAATGAACTTTCGTCGTGATGAATTTACGTAATGCTCTCATGGGGTGAATGGTTTTTAGAATGTAATGTCACCCAAGGGGGTTTTTGGGGCGTTACATGACTAGTTTCAGTGGGTGT